CCTACACACCGCTGATGACAATCCTCTCAAACTGGACTCCACATTCAGGTACAGCCCAGTCCTGCAGCAGCTAGCTGACGTCAGCAGTCAAATGTCCACATACATTACAGTCTGCAGTGACCTCCAGCATCCTATCAACCATCACATCACTAGCAATCTGAGCCCTCCAACAGAGGTCACGCTGTGGGGCCAAGGTCATAGCGGCAAAGACAGCCTCTCCTACACTGGAGGGATAACAACGTCACCTAAGTATGGCTCCAAATGCTGGATGGGGCAAGAGAGGAAGAGGAGTGGAGAGGCTGCAGGCTTGGTTGGAACAGGTGAATGATGGTGGCTGTTCAGTTACAAGTAAAAGTTTGGGCAAATCATTATGTTGATTTTTGAAGTGAAAAGAAGGAAATACAGCTCCTGCAGCAAATGGAAAATGATCCCCTTCTCAAATATAAATGCAGTTTTCATGAACTTAAAGTTGGAAAGAAAAAAAAGAGAAATTATGACGTACACTATATAGATACACTTACTATACGATGACATTTTTGTGCCTTACTATTCTATGACGTTTTTTGAAATTTTGAATGCCTTACTTTACTATGACGTTTTTTGAAATTTTTGTGCCTTACTTTACTATGACGTTTTTGTGCCTTACTATACTATGACATTTTTTGAAATTTTTATGCCTTACTATACTATGAGGTTTTTGTGCCTGACTATACTATCACGTTTTTTGTTATTATGCCTTACTATACTATGATGTTTTTTTTATGCCTTAGTATACTGTGACATTTTTTGACATTTTTATGCCTTAGTTTACTATGACGTTTTTGTGCCTTAGTGTATTATGATGTTTTTATAACCTTTTATGCCTTACTATACTATGAGATTTTTATGCCTTACTATACTTTGACATTTTTTGTTTTTATGCCTCACTGTGACATTTTTTGACATTTTTATGCCTTACTATAATATGACGTTTTTTGTTTTTATGCCTTACTATACTATGACGTTTTTATGCCTTACCATACTATGACGTTTTTTTTTTATTTTTATGCCTTACTATCCTTTGACATTTTTTGTTTTTATGCCTCTCTGTGGCATTTTTTGACATTTTTATGCCTTACTATCCTTTGACATTTTTTGTTTTTATGCCTCTCTGTGGCATTTTTTGACATTTTTATGCCTTACTATCCTTTGACATTTTTTGTTTTTATGCCTCTCTGTGGCATTTTTTGACATTTTTATGCCTTACTATCCTTTGACATTTTTTGTTTTTATGCCTCTCTGTGGCATTTTTTGACATTTTTATGCCTTACTATCCTTTGACATTTTTTGTTTTTATGCCTCTCTGTGGCATTTTTTGACATTTTTATGCCTTACTATCCTTTGACATTTTTTGTTTTTATGCCTCTCTGTGGCATTTTTTGACATTTTTATGCCTTACTATCCTTTGACATTTTTTGTTTTTATGCCTCTCTGTGGCATTTTTTGACATTTTTATGCCTTACTATCCTTTGACATTTTTTGTTTTTATGCCTCTCTGTGGCATTTTTTGACATTTTTATGCCTTACTATCCTTTGACATTTTTTGTTTTTATGCCTCTCTGTGGCATTTTTTGACATTTTTATGCCTTACTATCCTTTGACATTTTTTGTTTTTATGCCTCTCTGTGGCATTTTTTGACATTTTTATGCCTTACTATCCTTTGACATTTTTTGTTTTTATGCCTCTCTGTGGCATTTTTTGACATTTTTATGCCTTACTATCCTTTGACATTTTTTGTTTTTATGCCTCTCTGTGGCATTTTTTGACATTTTTATGCCTTACTATCCTTTGACATTTTTTGTTTTTATGCCTCTCTGTGGCATTTTTTGACATTTTTATGCCTTACTATCCTTTGACATTTTTTGTTTTTATGCCTCTCTGTGGCATTTTTTGACATTTTTATGCCTTACTATCCTTTGACATTTTTTGTTTTTATGCCTCTCTGTGGCATTTTTTGACATTTTTATGCCTTACTATCCTTTGACATTTTTTGTTTTTATGCCTCTCTGTGGCATTTTTTGACATTTTTATGCCTTACTATCCTTTGACATTTTTTGTTTTTATGCCTCTCTGTGGCATTTTTTGACATTTTTATGCCTTACTATCCTTTGACATTTTTTGTTTTTATGCCTCTCTGTGGCATTTTTTGACATTTTTATGCCTTACTATCCTTTGACATTTTTTGTTTTTATGCCTCTCTGTGGCATTTTTTGACATTTTTATGCCTTACTATCCTTTGACATTTTTTGTTTTTATGCCTCTCTGTGGCATTTTTTGACATTTTTATGCCTTACTATCCTTTGACATTTTTTGTTTTTATGCCTCTCTGTGGCATTTTTTGACATTTTTATGCCTTACTATCCTTTGACATTTTTTGTTTTTATGCCTCTCTGTGGCATTTTTTGACATTTTTATGCCTTACTATCCTTTGACATTTTTTGTTTTTATGCCTCTCTGTGGCATTTTTTGACATTTTTATGCCTTACTATCCTTTGACATTTTTTGTTTTTATGCCTCTCTGTGGCATTTTTTGACATTTTTATGCCTTACTATCCTTTGACATTTTTTGTTTTTATGCCTCTCTGTGGCATTTTTTGACATTTTTATGCCTTACTATCCTTTGACATTTTTTGTTTTTATGCCTCTCTGTGGCATTTTTTGACATTTTTATGCCTTACTATCCTTTGACATTTTTTGTTTTTATGCCTCTCTGTGGCATTTTTTGACATTTTTATGCCTTACTATCCTTTGACATTTTTTGTTTTTATGCCTCTCTGTGGCATTTTTTGACATTTTTATGCCTTACTATCCTTTGACATTTTTTGTTTTTATGCCTCTCTGTGGCATTTTTTGACATTTTTATGCCTTACTATCCTTTGACATTTTTTGTTTTTATGCCTCTCTGTGGCATTTTTTGACATTTTTATGCCTTACTATCCTTTGACATTTTTTGTTTTTATGCCTCTCTGTGGCATTTTTTGACATTTTTATGCCTTACTATCCTTTGACATTTTTTGTTTTTATGCCTCTCTGTGGCATTTTTTGACATTTTTATGCCTTACTATCCTTTGACATTTTTTGTTTTTATGCCTCTCTGTGGCATTTTTTGACATTTTTATGCCTTACTATCCTTTGACATTTTTTGTTTTTATGCCTCTCTGTGGCATTTTTTGACATTTTTATGCCTTACTATCCTTTGACATTTTTTGTTTTTATGCCTCTCTGTGGCATTTTTTGACATTTTTATGCCTTACTATCCTTTGACATTTTTTGTTTTTATGCCTCTCTGTGGCATTTTTTGACATTTTTATGCCTTACTATCCTTTGACATTTTTTGTTTTTATGCCTCTCTGTGGCATTTTTTGACATTTTTATGCCTTACTATCCTTTGACATTTTTTGTTTTTATGCCTCTCTGTGGCATTTTTTGACATTTTTATGCCTTACTATACTATGATGTTTATTGTTTTTATGCCCTAGTATATTTTAACATTTTTTGACATTTTTATGCCTTACCATGCTATGACATTTTTTGACATTTTTATGCCTTACTATATACTATGACGTTTTTATGCCTTACCATACTATGAGGTTTTTTTTTAATTTTTGTGCCTTAGTATACTATGATGTTTTTGTCCCTTACTATACTATGATGTTTTTTGTTTTTATGCCTTAGTATACTATGACATTTTTTGACATTTTTATGCCTTACTTTACTATGACATTTTTTGTCATTTTTATGCCTTACTATATTATGTTTTTTGTTTTTATGCCTTACTATACTTTGATGTTTTTATAATCTTTTATGCCTTACTATACTATGACATTTTTATGCCTTACTATACTATGACATTTTTTGAAATTTTCATGCCTTACTATACTATGATGTTTTTTGTGCCTTACTATGCTATGACATTTTTTGAAATTTTTGTGCCTAACTATACTATGACATTTTTTGACATTTTTATGCCTTACTATACTATGATGTTTTTTTTTTATTTTTGTGCCTTACTTTACTATGACGTTTTTGTCCCTTACTATACTATGATGTTTTTTGTTTTTATGCCTTAGTATACTTTAACATTTTTTGACATTTTTATGCCTTACTTTACTATGACATTTTTTGTCATTTTTATGCCTTACTATATTATGTTTTTTGTTTTTATGCCTTACTATACTATGATGTTTTTATAATCTTTTATGCCTTACTATACTATGATGTTTTTATAACCTTTTATTCCTTACTATACTATGACATTTTTATGCCTTACTATACTATGACATTTTTTGAAATTTTCATGCCTTACTATACTATGACGTTTTTTGTGCCTTACTATGCTATGACATTTGACATTTTTATGCCTAACTATACTATGACGTTTTTTGAAATTTTTGTGCCTTACTTTACTATGATGTTTTTGTAACCTTTTGTGCCTTACTATACTACATTTTTTGACATTTTTATGCTTTAATGTACTATGTTTTTATAACCTTTTATGCCCTACTATACTATATTTTTGTTCTTATGCCTGACCATACTATGACATTTTTATGTCTTAGTACACGATGACGTTTTTTTTTTGACAGTTTTATGCCTTATATACTATGACGTTTTTATAACGTTTTGTGCCTTACTATACTATGACATATTGACATTTTTATGCTTTACTGTACTATGTTTTTATAACCTTTTATGCCCTACTATACTATATTTTTGTTCTTATGCCTGACCATACTATGACATTTTTATGTCTTAGTACACGATGACGTTTTTTTTTGACAGTTTTATGCCGTATATACTATGACGTTTTTATAACGTTTTGTGCCTTACTATGACTTTTTTATTACATTTTATAACATATTATAATGTGCCGGACAAAGCACATTTAGGAGCATAACCAAGAAGGGAGTTCCACACAGCAACCATTTTAAGAAACCAAATTTATTCAAGATAACTCAATTCAACCTAAGTAAAGTAGAAAATGTGAAGTCAGTAGTGTAGTGTAGGTGTTGGGTGCTTTGAAAATGAAAGCCAACTTAAACTACTGTACAAGAACTGAGGCCTTAACCAAACAAAATATACAACAAAGCAAAATCAAGATGGGTTCCTGAAAGGCACCAGCATTCCAGGAGAGCTGAGAGAGAGAGACACCATCTTGAATATCCCAGCTTAAATAGGCTCCACTCAGGCGAAGTCTGTCAGGTGATAGTACCTGAAAAAAACACAGGAACAGACCAAAACAAAATAGAGTAATACATCCCAGGGCAGTAACAATACTATGACCTTTTTTTTCTGACAGTTTTATGGCTTACTATACTATGATTTTTTTGTTTTTATGCCTTAGTATAATATGATTTTTTTTTGCTTTTTTATGCCTTACCATACTATGACGGTTTATACTTTAGTATACTATGCCATTTTTATAACCTTTTTATGCCTTACTATACTATGACGTTTTTTGACATTTTTATGCTTTGTTATAGGATCCGGATAAGCGGGAGGTGATGAGACGAGACGAGACGAGTCTTATACTATGACGGTTCTTTGACGTTCTTGTTTTTATAACCTTTTATGCCTTACTATACTATGACGTTTTTTGACATTTTTATGCCTTACTATACTATGACGTTTTTTGACATTTTTATGCTTTGTTATAGGATCCGGATAAGCGGGAGATGACGAGACGAGACGAGACGAGACTTATACTATGACGGTTCTTTGACGTTCTTGTTTTTATAACCTTTTATGCCTTACTATACTATGACATTTTTTGACATTTTATGCCTTAGTATACTATGACGTTTTTATGCCTTAGTATACTTTGACGTTTTTTGACATTTTTATGTCTTACTTTACTATGAGGTTTTTGTGCCTGACTATACTATGCCTTTTTTTTTTTATGCCTTACTATACTATGATGTTTTTTGTTTTTATGCCTTAGTATATTATGATGTTTTTATAACCTTTTATGCCTTACCATACTATGACATTTTTTGACATTTTTATGCTTTGTTATAGGATCCGGATAAGCGGGAGACGACGAGACAAGATGAGACTTATACTATGACGGTTCTTTGACGTTCTTGTTTTTATAACCTTTTATGCCCTAATATGCGTTTTTTGTTTTAATGCCTTACTTTATTATGAAATTTTTTGACAGTTTTATGCCTTACTTTACACAACGACGGTTATATAACCTTTTATGCCTTAGTATACTATGACATTTTTTTGACACTTTTAATACCCTACTATACTATGACCTTTTTATGAAGTTCTTATGCCTTAGTATACTATGAGTTTTACTTTACTATGATGTTTTTATAACCTTTTATGCCTTACTATACTATGTTTTTTGTTTTCATGCCTTAGTACACTATGACGTTTTCATAACCTTTTATGCCTTACTATATTATGACATTTTTATGCCTCACTTTACTATGTTTTTTGTTCTTATGCCTTAGTACACTTTGACGTTTTCATAACCTTTTATGCCTTACTATATTATGACATTTTTTGACATTTTTATGCTTCACTATACTATGTTTTTTGTTCTTATGCCTTATATACTATGACGTTTTTTGACATTTTTCTTTCTCACCATACTGTGATTTTTTTTTGGGCATTTTTATGCTTTACTACACTATTTTGTTTTTATTACTTACTATGCTATGTTGTTTACCATCAGAGTCTGTGCATTTTTGCTTTAGGTATTTTCACCCACTCTTCCTGCAGATCACTTCAACTTCATTGGTTCAGTGGTTACCGGCTTGAGAATTAGCACTACCAACTGTTGATCTTGAACCGTTTCCTTATGTCTACATGTTCTTATTTTTGACAGAGCTGACAGCCGAGTAACGAGGAATGTAACAGTATTTTTGCTGCTGAGTAATTTGTGACGAGTAATTGATCTGTTTTCAAGTAATTTGCCAAACATTACTTTTTATATTTGTATAACAGTAGTGGATGGAAATTGATCAATTTTCTGGAAAAACAATATATGGTTTGTTTTTAAAACAGTAAGATTTTTCCTTGTTTGTTTTGCAGTGCTGACGCCACTGAAGATGGGGAGGCTGAGCTATGAGAGGGTTCCCGGCAGAAATGATGGACAGACGAGGCTTAAATTATTTTAGGTATGAATTCTTTGATCCTGTGGCCTGCTTGTAAAGATGAAAAAGAAATACATCTTTAAAGTTTTGTTAAATTCATGTTAGTCACTGCATATTCCGATTTAAGTGTTAATGGCAAGCTAAGGTTCAATAAAAAAAATGTCTACATTTTATCATTTTATGTTTTTTTCCACTGGCTGTAGAATGTGATGGATCAAAATAATTAGAATTTAATCATTTCAGTGAACATGAAATACTAATATTTTAAGATTTGAATAATATTTTGAAATGTTTTATCTCATTAAGTATTAGTGTTTTACTGTTATTACTCATTTTAAGAATTTTGTTTTTCACAGAAAAAAAATTTACTTATTTGTGATTTATTAAATTAAAAATTTACAACACTTCTTTATACACTATAACTCCTCTTGTTGGTATATAAACACAATGATAGGAGACGTTTTAGCTGTTGAAAATACTGCACATAAACACTTAAAACAAATTATATATGATTACAACAACAATGTGTTACGAACGTATTTGTTTATATACTGCTTCTAAGTAATAAATAAGGGGGGTCCCCAATTTGTTTTTCCAAAATAAGATTAAATATTAAGATTACAGCTGTGTGTACTTTTTGCTTTTGTTGTCCTCCACACAGAGCATGCTCAGCAGTGAAAAACAAATTGTGATTTATGGTTAGAGGAGTGGGATCGGGGGTCTTTCCCAGCTGAACTGATAAAGTCTCTCATTTTAGCAGCTCCAATGGTGGGGCTATTTTTTATTTTTTTCTTTCATTTAGTGAAGCAATCCCCTTATCGTCGTCTCTCAGCATGTGGAGAGAGTGCTTATCTTCACGAGCCAGCAGAGTGAAGCCAGCTCCCTCAGGAATGATCCCCAGACAAAGACGACCCCCGGGGACATCGACTACAAGCCTCCCTGCCTCTGGACAGCCATACCCAGCACTGGCTAGCCACCATCAATAACCTGCCAGCAGCCTCTTTTTTTTCTTTTTCTTTTTTTTTAAACATCTCTGTCTCTCTGGCCTCTGTCTTCTAACAGGCAGTGGACAAACAAAGAGAAAATGGTGCTTTTTTTTTTTTTAATGGCACAGGAACAAAAGCAGCAGGCAGGATGGTCAAAGGAGTCTCCATATGAAGCTAGGCAAACAGCAGCATGATGGTGCAGTAATTGCCCCTGACCATTACTTTAGCCCTGGACTGAATGAGACAGGAGAGATACTGTGGGAATTAACAGGCTGTTTAAACCAAAGCCATTCTTTAGGTTTGGATCCTGCTCTGGCTACAGCTAAAGGTCACACAGCTGTTATCTTTAATCACGGAGTCACCTGTGTGTCTCCTCTCTAAATAAAAGGGGTTTCCTGTGACACCTTTTTGGTTAAGTACTGATTTTAGATAAGAGTGATGCACAGATTTTGTGTCCTAGGCGGAAAAAAAAAACATGTTCACAACACAAAGGCAACACTTTACATCCCCTTATTTACAATTTATAAGCAGTATTAAAACATTTAAGGAATGGTTATAAAAAACTATACAGTAGTTCAATTAACTAACAATTAAAAGGCTTAAATTATTAATCTGATTTAGTAATATGTTAAAGAGTTCACCCCCAAAAAAAATTTTAATATTGTTTCTTACCTTGCGGCAGAAGCAGATTCCTGTATAGAATACATAATATAAAATGAGCCAGGGATGAGACATAGCTGATAAAAGCAAGGAAAACAAAATGAGGAGGCATTGAACCAGGATACAGTGACAGAAGTCAGTAACCGGCCATGTAGATAAATGAAGTAATATGTTAGTCTTCTGGAGTGCACTTTCACCAAGCTTCATCCGTAAGCAGATGTAAGAATATTTAAATGTTTAATGTACAGCATTTGTCACCAACTTCTCCTATATATAAGACTTATTTATTGTGGGAGCCCAATTTTGAATAAATACATTAAACATGTATCTGCTTACAGTTACAATTATAGTCTGTTACAAACCATGTATTAAATGTGTATATACTGCTGATAAATGCTAAATACTTAAGTGTCACCGACACAAAAAACCAACAAATATTAACTGAGATGAAGTAATAAGGAACAAGGTGCTGTATTTGCGTCATTGACAGATTTTCAAATCACACTGAATCCTGATAAACGCATGTAACCCTACGAACAATTACTGATCAGCACTGGCCCAATAAGCAGTAACAAAATGTCCAGTCCTCCCTACATACACAGTACGGACAGAGATGTGCAGTTTTAGATTCAAAGGCAGATACGCATTATTTGGAATTAGAGCTGAAACAATTAGTCGATTAACTAATTACACTGCCATCCTTAGAGCCAGAGCACTGTCATGGATAACTAGAGTCAAGCTGCAGTTTACATCCATGTCTGCCAGGCTCATAATATATGCAGTGAATACTTTGAAGGAATTTAATAAAAGCTATTAAGTAATTTGTTCTAATTAGCATCTAATCTTTTACCTTTAACCACCAAAATCTAATCAGTTCATATTTGAGTCAAAGTGAACATTTGTGCCAAATTTGAAGAAATTCCCTCAAGGCGTTACTGAGATATTGCCTTCACAAGATCGGGCGGCGTGGAGGCACAATGAAAAAAACAGCAGTGACTTGAGTCAGTAAAGCTCCTTCCTGTCAGACTGGTTAAAGAGACATGCGTCATCTTATGTTGTCTCTGCTCAGACTTGCATCAAAACCCTGCTCATAATTTGATGTAATTTATTCCAGTTGGGGTTTCACAGCTTGTCCTGCTCATTTTGCTTCCAGCTTTAACCTGCATGATAAATTACAACAGGTCAGGTATAATTGTCTCCTGGCCTTGTAGCTGTGATGAAAGTCAACACACTGGCCAAACTACCCTACAGTGAGTGTGTCTGCAGACCTGTGGTGGAGGCTGGATGGAGCTGGAGAGCGGCGGCGCCTGGCCTGCAGGTGCAGCCTCTTGGACGTGCAGCAGGGCCCATGAATGGCCGATTCAGAAAACGGCCCCCATCGGGCCTGTTCTCCAGGCCTGGGGCTAATCCCAGCCCCTAATCGGATTATGTAAATTCCTACTCCACACACAGACTTTTATGGAAGGCTGCATCTTTGAAACAACACTTGAAGGGTGTAAAAGGAACAGTGACAATTGGTTAAACTAGACTTATTTTTTTATCTGAACGGAGGTTGAAAGTGGGAGGCAGAGGAGGGGGGGAGGAGAGGGGGGAGGAGTGGTTGGAGAGAGGTGAGTTGGTACGTTGTGCTCTCCCTGTTTCCTCTGTAATTTATGTGTGGCCCCTTGGAATGGCTCAACAAGATTACCATAGTCATAACAAAACCCATATTGTTCAACTGTCAATCTGGATATGGTATTTTTACCTTTTGTGGCCCAATCAGGCTGAATTCAATAGCAGAGCAGCCAGCGATATCAAGGTCTTTTCCACGGTGTAGGGAACGGTGGGTTGTCCATGCCTAATGTCAGAGAAACAGAAAGGAACAAGTGTCCAGAGCAGTAAGAGAAGGATCAGAGAGATGAACGTCTCAGTTTCACTTCAATGGGAATTTATTTGTCACCTTTAGTGCTAACCTTCAAGGATTAAATGAGCAATGAATCATAAAAGCAGCACAAATAGTCACTTAAAAGGCTGTTGAATCATGAAAGCTGCAAAAAAAAAAAAACCCAGAATCCCCTCAAACGTTGCACAGAAACACCTATGAAAGTCATTTAAAGTGATGATTTATGAACAATATAATCATGAAGCGGTTGGAGGTGATGGACAGGAGGGGGGTGTGTGTTTGAACAATCATTCCTCAGTTAACACCAACCTCCTCGACAGCGCACGTCACACAATAGGGTTCACCCTGCTATAAAATGTGGGATGCGAGCATGCAGCAGTCTTCCCCCCTACTTTCATCCCTCCCTCTCTCTCTCTCTCCCTCTCTCTGTCTTTTACTCTCTCCTTCCGTCTCGCTCCACTGGATCTCTCAGTGAGCATGAGAAGACACAACTGAGTGTACGTTCCCACCTCCTGGACTCTGATGACCTGCCGACGCTGCGACTGAGGATTTCTGCACATTTCTACAAACGCACACACAGACACGCACAGGTGAGAAATTTTTGGAATAATGACAGATTTTTTTCTCTTCAGGCCATGTGTTCCCACTTAAGTCGAGTAAATAATTAATCAGAATGAGCATGTATGACAGGAAGATACTGTGTACTCTTTGCCTGCAGCTATCATGTAATAGTAAATTATTTATACCGGTGCATTTGTACCAGACTTTGCAGTAACTGAAAAATCAATTTTGTTTTGCAGATCAGCCTTTATTTAACCAGAAAGTCTCTTAAATTAAATTTACTCACACTTTACTTTCACTTCTATCCTTGTAGTTGCCATTTATAAGCAGTATTTAAACACTTGATAACTGGTTAATAATGGAGTTGTAAGCAGATGTAAGGACATTTTGATGTGTTTGTTCCTGTACAGTATTTGTCAACATTTGAGCTCTCTTATGAAGATGCATTTTATGCTTTTACACCTGTTTTACTGTATTGTCATTATATATACACATATATAGGAGCCCACACGATGAGTTATAGCAACAAATACATTAATAAACACTTATATCTGCTTATAACTACATAATAATACATTATAAACCATTTATTAAAAGTGCATACATTGCTTATAAAATGCTAAACGGGGATTAAAGTAAAATGTTACAAAATTTGTGTTAAGAGACTCTCAGGCTTAATAAAGGCTTTTACAACAACAAACTAAAATTATTAAACTCAGATACATTAATGATTTGATATTTTACTTGATGCAAAGTCTGGTATAAATGTGCACAATTTTTCAAAGGCCTGGTATGAGGCAAAAAAAGGAAATACGAAGGTTGCATTTATATCTTATAACTAGTATTTGAACAAATAAATCTTCAGTAAGGTTGCCAGTTTCCCTTCTGACATACATTAACTATAATGTCATGTCAGCCCCATAGGGCTGCAACTAACAATTATTAATTACTGACTAATCTACAGATTCTTATCCAAATTAATTGTTTTGTTATAATGGAAAAAATGAATAATGGAAAAATGCGCTTCAGAATTTCCCACAGACCAAGATGGTATCTTTAATTATCTTGTTTTGTCCAACAGAGTCCAAAACTCAAAGACATTCAGTTTCTATCATGTGCAAGAAAAACTAGTAGAAAATCTTCACATTTAAGAAGCAGAAAAGACTAAAACGATTATTCGATTATCAGGACAGTTGCTGATTAATTTTGTGTCAATCGACTAATCTTTGCAGCTCTACTTAGCACCATGACCAGGAAGGTGTTCACCAACACGAGGGAGCGCTGGCGCCAGCACAACGTCAACACCGCCTTCGCCGAGCTCCGCAAGCTCATCCCCACCCATCCTCCGGAGAAGAAGCTGAGCAAGAACGAGATCCTGCGTCTGGCCATGCGCTACATCAACTTCCTGGTGCAGCTGCTGGAGAGCCAGAGCGGTCAGCCGGCTAGCCACTCCCCCACCGCTCTGCTCACCTTTCTCAGAGGAAACATGGAGCGGCTGCAGTCCCCTGCACACACCTGGGCCCTGACCAGTGACACCGAAGCTCCATCACCAGGATCAAGCTGTGACAGTGCTGAGGCCTGGTAGAAACAGTTATATACTAAAAAAAAAAAAAAAAACGAAAAAAGAAAACTCTTGAGTGGACTGCCTGACACTTTTCCTGGGTCTAAAAACTGATCTCGTCCTTTCTCAAGACTCCTTTTTGTCTCTGCATTTGTCACCTGTATGTGACTCATGTTTCAGTGCAGAAGATGCAATATTGTGTGATATTTGTGGACTCCAAAATGTGGCTGCCTCCTCGCTGATCAGTGTTGAAATATGATTTGCAGGTGAAAATTAATTTGTATTCTGCATGGATGTGTAAAACCTGGATGTACAATATTCCCTTCATGTCTTCATGTTAATATTCCTTGTTGCCGACCCGCCTGGAACTAATTTAGTTTTGCAATAAGAGGATGTTTTGCCAATGAGGAAAATGGAGGGGATTAAGGAATTTTCTCATTTCAAGCAATAGATTCAGCAAGGCATTTGAATAGATAATGGCTCAACCAATTCTCCAGACCGCAATCGTCTCAAAATAGCCAAGGGCACTTTTTTTTTTTCTTTTTTTTTTTTTTGAAATCGACATGCTGTTTTTTTTTTTTTCTTGAGAAGACTAAATCTGACCTTTGTTTTCAATTTTCAAGGTTATGCGACTTCTGAAGAATCACTTCTAAGAAAGACTTCCTGTTTTTCTCACTGTTTTTATACAACAATGTTCAGTATTTGTTGACTGGTGATACTTTGGATTGGGCTGAGGAATTTTAGAAAAACTGACAATCCTCTTTCAATAATTATTTACATCACCACACATATCTTCTCATCCAAATGTGTTCATTTGATTTTATGTAAAATACGCATGTCATATAGCCAAAGATTATGAATTGATTGTCTACTGTGAAGAGTGTGCTACTTATCTTCTGATACCTCTTTTGTAAGTTATTTTGGTTTGCTTGTGAATATACAGTATGTTATTTATTTCAACTATTTATTTAATAAATGATTTGTTAATAAAACACTCTGAATCTCTTTAGTGAAAGAGGTCACTTTAAACCACTACTCATTACTGAAAAGTCATTTTTCGAGCAGGATATACAGAGATACTCAATATACATGCATACATATTGGAAAAGTAAATCCTCAGTACAGTCAGTAAATGTAGCTGAAAAATGTAAAACTATTTTTGATGGTGGTGAAATAGCTCAACACCCAGGAAAACAAAAAAACTACTGAATCCTCAGAAAAGCAATTGGGGCACAGTGTCAGACTGAAATTATTTAACACTGTGTAAGACACAACCGATCTGAAGTTAAGAGCAGAGCCGCCGTGTCGATGCAGACCCTCTTTGTTCGTGCTCAATAAGCCCAGAGACATTTGCCCAAAAGTCCTGTGATGACTGAGTGGACACAAAGCTGGCCTCAGCTCTCTGTCCACTGACCAGAGGCCTGGGAAAACAGCCCTGAGAGTGACAGCTTAACTTGTGACCCCTGAGGTCAGAGGCTATTCTGGAGTCAAACACTGACCAGTTGACCGACGTGCAGATGGAGTTTTCTTAAGGAAAGTGTCGCTTTGTTGCTGCACAAGCTATTTGATAGCACTGAAGTATATAAAGCAGGAATATCTTGAAAAGAGACGACAGAAATGACAGAACTCAATCATTCGGGTAAACACTAAAACCCAATTTATCAATATACAGAATGCTAACGTGCAACTAAATAAATGCTTTTTATAGGAAACACCATCGAACTCTGACAAAATAAATAAATAAAATTAGGTCTGCAACTAAAGATTTTTTCAAGTAATCTATTACTTGATTAATATACAAGATGTCAGAAAATTATAACATCCCAAATTACTTGTTTTGTCAGACCAACAGTCCAAAACACAAATCACACACATGTAAAAACAGACAAAAGCAGCAAATATTTTTGATAAACAAATGACTTAATCAATTAATTACCAAAATAGTTGCTGCTTAATTTTCTGTCAATCAACAAACTGATTAATAACCTATTTGTTTCAGCTCTAGCTTTAATTGCAGCAGTTTTGTTGCGGTTTGTCTCCTTGTTCGGCAGCCATTTAAACCGGGGTCAGACATTTACACGCCTAATCGTCTATTGTGACTGTAGAAAACGTGCCCCATTTTCAGGCAAAAAGCTGCAACTAACTGAGCTGAAGAGTAAACACTGAGCTGGTTTCGGGCGCTTTCACCCCAGCTGTTAAACTCGGGCTAATGGTGTGTAAACGGAGCAGAGGGCAGCTGGACACACTGACTGGAGGCCTGTGGGAAGTGACAGGTGACTCTTTGTAATGCTGCAAAAATACTGAAATCATGTTGTACTGGGATAGTGATGACTACTGTACAGCAGCCGTCTGCCTATCCCACAGCATGAATTGCACAAGAGGTATTTACCTCTTGTGCAATTTCACGGTGAATTGAGCAATTTCATGGGAAGTCGAAATAATACTAAACAAAACTACTGTGGTTATTAATAGCTGAATTGCCTGGTAATACGAGACGTAATATTTTTTTTAAAAACTGTACTTCTTTATGTGTGAAATGTTTCAGTGTAATTCAGACTCTCTAAATGCTAAATTATTCAATCATTTGCAACTGGATAGGAAGGCATGTGACAGCTTTCGCATACATGCTGTCAGGCTGCAAAACACATTTTGCTGATACACCTTATTTAGAGAAATCGCCCAATCACAATATGAGCGTTACTCTGGTCTCAACTTTCTCGCAGGATTATGAAACCCTGCATTGAAAATAATAACAAATATGTACGCTTCTCATTCCCTCCACCAAGTATATTTGCCTGATTGACTATTCTCTCCCAAGTATGTGGGTAATCGTCTATTGAGAGCACATTTCCTTATCAGCGTCTAACACACTGTCTGAATCCGTTATCACAATGGGCCAGATCAGTGCAGGCAGCCCCTCGCTCTCCGGCTGAGGCGCCCATGAAAAAGAATTTCTGGAGTTGGGTGCCAACCGATAGGCCCTGAGCTCTTTATCCCCTTAAAGCCAATTCACACTCTGCATGTTTAAATATCTCAGCTCAACCCCTGCCCTCCCACTCCCGTCATGCACTCGAACACCCTCCTCCCCCTTTGCCTTTCCTTCTCGCTCTTTCTCACCCCTCCACGGCTGCAAGTCCAAGTGTGGACTGCCACCGCAGCTGACCTGCAGTGCGCCGTGGGTTGGTGGTGGGTGGGATGCAGGTGCAGGGCTGGTTGGAGGGTGAGAGAGGAGGGGAGTCCTCCATTGTTGGTCTGGACAGCACCCTCTCTCCTCTGGAGCACCCTCTGATGGGGGAGCCCACTGACAATCACGCATCCTAATCTGATTATGCAAATATCTACTTCAAAAAGCAATACGCTGTAACCCTTACCCTGTGGTGGAGAGACAGAGAGAGGAAGAAAGAGGGAAGGAGAGGAAGCAGCAGGAATGTAGAGAGAGAAGGGTAGATGGTTGACAAAATTAAATACAAGGACAAAATGCGTCGTTAAGCTCAATTCTGTATGCAACACCCTCATACACCTATCATCAGTTTCTCTCACACGTCCTCTGTACTACCAGGGGAGGTCCGAGGACGAAAGGGTACACACTTACACACTCTGAATGGCCACCGACTCCCTCAACAGGGCATTGAACTCAATATTCAAATGCTTATTGTTTTTCCAGACGCTCCTGAATCCAGCGTCAAAGGGAATCTACAATGTTAATGAGGGGGCCAAAGTACCCAGAGTTAAGATTTTAGACGCCCAAACAGTTGGAGGTGACATTTCACAAGAACAACACAGCCTCAATGCCACTGATTCCTAAAGGCATAGGTCGACAACCACCCCCCAACTTCGCAAATATTCACACCAAGCTGGCTCTACCTGATTTCTGAAATCAGCTGCTTCATTCTGTTGGCACATACAGTACATCTCCAAAAGACGACTCAGAGTCTACGTCCATGCCAGCATCTCTGAGGCTGCACATAAGGTCGGGTTATGCTCGATTAGAACTAGTTGAAGAGACATGATGTCCCGACTGGAAAACCAACGTGTTTATTTTTGTTATTTTTGAAAAGACGGCTGTCAGAGTGAGGGGAGACAATAACATTTAAACAAGGGGATAACAACACACATTTTCAGACGGTCTCTCCTGCACGGCATTCAGACAGAAGTGAAGAATGAAAAAAGAAAGCTTGAGAGGAGTTTAACATTCACTCACAGTTGGCCAATGACAATATAAAATGGGTGGCAATGTCAGTTTGATGGCTTTTGGAAAGTTACAGAAATGGTCAGAAACGGACACGCCTATTCTGTTGTCAGACAGGTGTTGGGGTAGGGGCTTTCTGAGGCTATCCAACCATGGGACAAGCAGTTCTGAAGAAGCAGGCTGGCGATACTGAGCTAAATGCTAACGTCAGAATGCTAACACGTTCACAAGGACACTTAGTAAACATACTTGCTAAACATCACCATGCTACGTTCAACATCTTAGTTTAGTGTATTAGCATGCTGAGCATATTTGTAGCGACAACACACTAAACTACCACACGGTGGCGGTAGACAAAAAGCCAGGGCATTACCACAGTCATTAGGCCACATCACCCGGTAACCATGGGCAACTGTACCAAATCTTGTGCCAACCCCTCTGGAAGATATTGAGATATTTCACTAATATTTTACTATATAAGTGAAGATTTCTACCTGGTGGCAGTGCTAGATGAAGGGTTAAGGAGTGACCAAAGACATTTGGAGTCATCCTCAAGGGCACCATGGACCTCTATCAAAAATCATGTAATTCCATCCAATATTGGTTAGTACCTTTCACTAAAAAAATCAAGCAACGTATTTGGCCTCACTCTGCGACGCTTCAGTGGTATGCAGGGGAATTCTTCCAAAGGCACCCACATGCTCTCACAACTTCCTCAGATTATGCAATTGTGTCCAGGCCCATTGAGATGAAGTCATTATCCTTTTGTGTTATTTTACTCCATCTCTCCGCAGCTGACAACTTGAAGTCGGGGGTCTGAAGTCTGTTTTTACACTGTAGCTTTCTAGCACAGGAGATTATTCTTATTTCTAATACCAATTAACTTTACAACCATTACCTTTCACCTCTAACCACATGCTTATGGCGCGTCTGTTATCTGCTGTGTCATGCTGCAGAAAGAGGAACTACAAGCCAGAGTTCAGCTTCTTTTAGTTAATAATTACTTCTCCAGGACCAGCTATTAAAAAGGATCAGGCAACAGCCGCCTTTCCTCCTGACAGACGGCCACCATGGAGCTGGGGCAGCGTCTCTCTGTTTGTGTGCTGCTGACACTTTGTAACGCATGGAGTGCAAACGGAGGAAACATTTTGGTGTGGTACACTGAAGGCAGCCACTGGATTAACATGAAGCCTGTGCTGGAGACACTGATTGACAGAGGACACGAGGTGACGGTCCTGGTCCCGAGCACATCGATATACATGAACAGCAGTGACACTTCCCGCTTTCGCTACGAACCCTTTGACGTTCCCGTCTCAATGAAGGAAATGGAGGAGTTTCTTGAGGAGTACCTTCGCTTCTCCATGTATGAGATGGATCAAATGAACTACTTGCAGATTTATATCAGATTCGCAGATCTGATGAAGACCGACCTGCAATATTCTTTGCAGTTTTTGGACGGTGTGCTGAAATCAGAAACCATCATGAGGAAGCTAAAGGAGGGAAAATATGACCTTCTCCTGGCTGACCCCATCTACCCTGGCAGTGACTTAGTAGCAGATATTTTGGGCATCCCTCTGGTCTTCTCTCTGCGCTTTTCCTTGGCCAATAACTGGGAGAGGCAGTGTGGTCAGCTACCCGCTCCACCTTCCTTTGTCCCTGGTGCTATGAGCAAACTTACAGACAAGATGGACTTCTCAGAGAGAGTGTGGAACTTTCTCTTCTATGTACTGCAGGACCTCGTGATGAATAACATGTTTTGGACAGTTTTAGATAAATATTACTCTGAAATCAAAGGTGAGTCCTGCCCTATAGTGGTTTAATTGCTTTGGATTCTTTGCAATGCTTTTATATCCAAACACTGTTGTCAACAATTTGACATTTTAAGTAAGTAATATTTGAATATTAGATATCTCATTTGAAGTATTGGGCGGCTTTCATTCATTTCTTTTGCATTGTGACAGGGACACCCACCAGTGCCTGTGAGATGATGGGAAGGGCAGACATCTGGTTGATACGAACCTACTGGGATTTTGAGTTCCCTCGTCCTTTCCTCCCCAACTTCAAATACGTTGGTGGGATCCACTGTAGACCTGCTAAACCTTTGCCAGAGGTAGTAATGTCTCCACTATTACAGACATATTAATCTTTTATGACAATTCCACGGTGTTCATTACTCCAAGATTGAAGAGAACAGGCCATTTAAATGCTGCAAGGAGGAAACAAAATGCCGGTTGGTTTGCATTGGGATGATACTGTACTTCGCTTCTTGCAGGATATGGAAGAATTTGTGCAGAGTTCAGGAGACGCTGGTATTGTGGTCTTCACATTGGGATCTATGATCAAGAACATCACCACAGAGAAGGGAAACATGATCGCCTCGGCCCTCGCTCAGATCCCACAAAAGGTTAGAGTTCCAAGTGAAATCAAATGACCCCTGGACACAGTTTCTATGGCTATGAGAATATTCTGTCCCAGCTCATATCAGTGTTGTTGCACGAACAATGCAATTCACTGCAGATAGCTTGTACTTTCCATTTCTGCCAGTCATTTTTCACAGCATACCATGAGTTTCAAGATTTTCTACCTTTCGAGCAGCCACTGGTTTCTATTCAAAATCATGTTGCAAAGACTTTTAACTAGCTAAACAGGAAACCCTTGACAGAAAACATTAAGTCAGCTTCATTTTTTTTCCACGTGACACTGTCACAAAGCAGTTGCACACAGGGAATGCATGTGATAAGACATGATTTGCAGTTAATTGACTACAACATACAAACAACTAATATGGTTTTTAAAGTTATGTCATGGTATTTTTTTCTGATTAAATTGGGACTAGATGCAAGGCAAGCAAAATAATTTAAGAAGATTTGATGAGAGAATGAAGGTTTTGAAGATTACAATTTTATCTCTTTAACTATTTTCCAAATAAAAGTACTGAGGTTGTTATAAAATACAATTATTTTCCTTATCATTTTAGCATTAACTATTAAATGTTATGCTAAACAGTATATTATGACATAAATTAGCACTGTGTTAGTCTAATAGTGTTTTTACCGTTGTTTATAGGTGCTATGGAGACACAGTGGAGAAAAACCAGAGACTCTGGGTACCAACACCAGAATATACAACTGGATCCCTCAGAATGATCTGCTGGGTAAGTAAAGCTTTTATAAAAGCTGCTGAACAGGCTTTTGATAATAATCTTCATGACTTTTACTTTGAAATGTAAGAAGGTATCCATCACTTTGTTTTGTTTGTTTTTTTTCCTCCATTATTTAGTTTGACAGTACAAAACCTACAAGGGACATATACTGTAAAACATCATGCTGGAATTTAGTGCACTGAGCTTATGTTTTTCCCCTCAACTTAATGTAAATATACAGGTTTTAAACTCTCTGGAGAGTCCTCTGTTTTGTAGTTTAAAGAAAGTATTCATGGTAGAAGTAAGTCATGGTTGTTCTCAAAATGATTGAAGTCAGTCCCTACCATTGCACACTTATAATTTAACAAAGTCACTTCGAGCAGTCACTGCTGTAAGATCTTCATGTAATATTAAGAACCAACTCTCCAAACTGAGAAAATGTAAAAAGAAAGCAAATCTGACTAACATTTGTCAGCTTGACTGATTAGTTGTTAATCCGAATTAATATCTTAAGTTTACTGAACTTATTTTTTCAGGTTCACTTAATTCAACTGGTCAATTTTCAAAACTCATAAGACAACTGTGAACTAATTATTCAACCAACGTTCAGATAAATCACAAGGAACTTGTAGGGGAACTTAATTTACATAGTACAGATGTTATTGTGAAATTTGTTCTTTGGCAAGAAAGATGCCAGGAATTTAGTGACAAGGGATTTTCCATCCACTAAACACTTTTCTCAGTTACATTATTACCTATATGTTTTTCCAAAAATGCAATTGTGGGGTTTTTTTTGTTTTCAAAAGTGTGGCTTGAGCTTATTTCACCACCATTTGTTTCAAGCTGTGAGCATTTCCTTTACATTTTGCTTTGCATTGTGGAACAATAGTGTCCATCAACAGCACTCTCCAAAATCAGGGGTTGTTTAATGTACATACTGATTGTTTTAGATATACTTTGTCACTTTTCGAGCGTGGAAACAATATGTACTCAAAACTGGGAAAAAAAAAAAAAAAAACACTTTCCCAGCGGAAATACAATACATACGTACCAGTACTCACTTTTAGCAATGACAAAGTCACTAAAAGGTACAATAAAGAGGAGGCAGAGGCTTGAATGAATGATTGTTTTCTGTAGTTTTTCCAAGATGTCTACAGGATCTGATGCTTCCACTCATAAGCCGTTGCCAATGTTCAGTGTATATTTAGTATTTAGTTTATGTTGAGCTCATTTGTGTTAAAGTTCTGTTTTATCAAGCTGCTTCTCTTTTCTCTATGGGTCAAGTAATTAATACAGAGAAAACATTAGGCAAGGTAGCACTATTCCATCATAGAGGAAATTCAAGGCAATCATCAATTATTTTTATCATCAATACGTCTGGCAATAATTTCCTTTAATAACTGATGGGTTATTCCATCTATAAAATATCAATAGAAAAAATTGTGTCAAATCATCATCCCCTGAAGCCCAACTTAACCTACTCTAATGGCTTGTTTTGTCTGACCAGCAGTCAAAAACCCAAAGATGTTCAGTGTAACACTTTATTTTACAGGTCTCATTTGTTCCACGTAATTTCTCGGAAAACACTGCACAGAAATTTATAAAAGGTTAGCTATTATTTAGCTGTTAATTATTAGGATAGTAGTAAGAAAGGCCTACGCAATTTGGTCCTAATTTTAAGGGAATGTTTCCAAGGCAATAGCTGGAAAATACAGGACCCTTAAAGTGGTACCATGATCAGTGCTATTTGTTTGAGCCATTTACTGAAAAATGTACAATTCATTTTCTTTCAATTTAACTAATCAAATAATGATTTTTGCTCTAAAGTACTGGTTAATTTCAAGGTACCTGGGGAAATAATGAAAATGCCACGTACAAAGAGAGTCAATAAGGACCCAACAACAAATCTTTGTCCCCCAGGGCCCCTTTGAGGTAGCTTAATCTGGCCATGGAGTCACATTATTCAGAAGTGAAAAAATGTCCCTCAACATATGTTTCACAATCTTTGCTACCCTGTCAGGTCACCCCAAGACCAGAGCTTTCATCACCCATGGGGGAACAAATGGGATTTATGAGGCCATCTACCACGGTGTTCCCATGGTGGGCATCCCCATGTTCGCTGACCAGCCAGACAACATGGTCCATATGAAGGCTAAGGGTGCTGCACTTATCGTGGACTTAAACTTCATGAAGACTGAGGATCTTAGAGACGCAATCAATACCGTCATCAATGAGAAATCGTAAGTTCTGTTACCTAGAAACTAGACTGTCAATGTAACAGAGGTCAAATTTAAGTCTTTTTAAGAACTCTTAAATACCACATAGAATGCATTTTACCACCACAATCACTAATCAGTGAGGATGACATGGCCAAGAGTTATTTAGTATATTAGATTTATTTCAGTACTTCCCAGCAGAATGTAACTAATTCCAAATGATATAATGAATTAAACTAATGTGACCTGGGCTGAGATCAGTTGCAAAAAAATTAGATGAAAGAATTAACCAATTAAAAAAAGTAATTTAAGTTAAAGTTTTTTCATCAGTTTTTGATATTTCATTAACAACTAACTGATCAAAGAAAATAATTGGCTAATTAATCAATGATGATAACTTGTAGTGTACATCTTCAGACAGCTCAAAATTGCGTTCAAAAACCGTTTATAAATCCTAAATCCAACAGTTCTTAAAAACTTTCCAAGACCTGCAGATACCATGTCTAAAGCAGTTCAGATTTCAACTACCACCACAGAATTTCAAGGTGACAAAGAGATTAAAAAACTACTGGATGGCCTTTTACTCTCATATATTGGCTTTTCTGTTGGAGATTTAAGTTTAAAATAATATATAAAAAGGAAAAGAAAATTCAACCCTTTTCTTCTCATTCTTGGTAAGGCAAAAACTATAGTTAGTACAGTATGAAAATTGAAATACATAATGCATTAACTTACAATTTCCCCCTGTACATCCATATTCATAGGTACAAGGAGAATGCCATGCAACTGTCCAGTATCCACCATGACAGACCCATCACTCCTCTGGATGAGGCCATATTCTGGATCGAGTTCACCATGAGAAACAATGGGGCCAAGCACTTGAGGGTCCAGGCCCATGAGCTCACCTGGTACCAGTATCACAGCCTGGATGTCTTGGCCTTTGTTCTCGCTGTCCTTCTGCTCCTCACATTCCTCTTCACGAAGACCTGCTGTTTCTGCTTTCGGAGGTGCTGTGGCAGCAAGGGAAAGACAAAGAAAAAGGCTGAGTAATGGGCTGAATTGAAATGCAACTGGTGAAGTGATGGCTGTAAATACAAAATTCAGTGGTTGTCCTGACGATCTTAAGCATGTAATGTAACCACCATGTCCTGAATTTGAATTTGTGTCCAGGGATCAGCAATCTTCACCATTTTGAAATAGTAAAGTAAGTATTTCAGTCATGGAAATAGCAGGTGGAAGGATTTTGTTGTTTGTTTCACTTGTTTAACCATAAACTCAAAAAGTAAAACCTCTTAACTCTCTACATAGACAAATAAATACCATGTATTTGCATTCCAGTGCAAGAGTACATTTCTCTCGTTTGCTCCCTCGTGTATAGCCAGTAATTACTGCAATTGTTCACAGGTGCATACTAATTTGCATAACTGCACCTGAGGCCAATTTCACATTAAAAGCTGGATGTTCATTGGCTGGTTTAAGTTTGGGGGACAAAAGAACACACAGAGGAATTTCATTCTGCGCCTTTACTTGGACAATATTGATCACACCGCACCACTCCAGGTTTTCTTAGCACACTACAGCACAATCCAAAATATTTATACAAGCATGAACACATGGGCTGCAAATCAAAACTTAACAAACAGAAAATACTGTATTATTACACAAATCAAGTAACATAATCAAACTAAAACAAACAGCCCTCCCAAATACTCAGAACAGAGCTTCACACACATTCAAATTGGCATGACAGCATCTATCTTTTCGTGTATGAACAGTGTGGGGAATATTTTTTGCTTTATTTTCATATTTTTTTCAGTTTTCCATCTTCTTTGAGCTTCCATATCATAAGCTCCATGCAGGCAGCAGCGTCTTCTGCAGTGTCGTGGCCACAAACTGGGAGAAAAAGTAATACATTATTTAAACACATGCAAACAATGACTGTCAACACCCTCAGCAATAAGTTAGTTATATTCCTTGAAATACACATATTTTGGTAATATTTACTAAAATTCATAGTGTGATTGTGATTGTCTTTATTTGAATTTAGATTTTGATTCAGATGGATGGTAAACGTTAAAAGAACATTCAATTAAACGTGACACTTGTATGGTGGCTGTAGGTAATCCATGATGACCCACCACTCTCTTGGATGATCCTCCGGAGGTATTCAGCAGTGAGATTGTTGAGGGTCAGTTTGTGAGGGGGGCCCAGACGGTGGGGGAAGACCACTGATGTGTCCACTACCATCCCATGGAGCAACTACAGCAAAGAGGAAGATAGCTGAAGCTCTAATCACCTGATAACCCCTCTTAGGGAATGTGAAAATTACTCGATTGTAAATAACCTTAACTTTCATCTACAGTGTGGATTTAATTGGTAGAAAACACAGTTCTTAAAAACAAATAGTACTAGTACCTTATTTCCATTTCCACTACTTTATACTTCTACTCAACTACATGTGAGAGGGGAACACGACTTGTACTCTAATACATTTATCTGATAACTGGAATTAACTGTTACTTTGCAAATTAAGAGTATTAATACAAAATATTATCAGCAAATAAATAATGTTATTATAGACTACATTACCCAGCAGTATATTAAGTCTTAATCCAACAATGTATACAATTCTGCTTTACTGTACTTTTGGAACTTCAAGTATGCTTTGCTGCCAATACTTTTACTTGTGACAATATTTCTACAGAATGGTGTTATTACTTCTGCAAATGTTTTACTGCAGCCAAAGTGGCTCACATAGGTTGCATGCGGATTAGCAGTCCTTTGTGTCTGTCATATACCCATTACTGTACATCCATTTGTCCAAAGCAATTTAGAGTAAGTGCATTCAACTATAGGAATAATAGGATGTCGTTTTCTAAAGCTGATAATTCTCTAATGTGTATAAAATTAAATAAATAAAAGTGAGGCATGCAAAACTCATTTAATATTTGGCAAATTCTGCCAATTGGCATCCAACGTCACCGACCTTTGCAACAGCGTTTGTAATCATGATTGTGAAATTACAACGTTTGTCCTCTTCCATGAGGTGTTTCTATTACTTTGTCCAGACCCTGGTCACTAGATTATTGGAGCTACATAATTTAATCTATAAAAATAAAAAAGACCAGCTCCTCAGCCATCAGATAGTTGAAAGAAAGATACCTTTTGGTTGTTTTTTGACAGTGTATTTTGCTGATTAAAATAAAAATTAAAAAAAGACTCAAATGAATAAGTGATAAAAGTATTATGACACTTGAAAGTAACATCAAAAGAAGGGCTCTTAGTTGGGAATTAGTGTTTAGAACTTGGCAGAGGGCCACTCTTGTTACAAACCTGTTTTAAGAAAACACTACTGTGTATAATAGTTGTGTGCAAGACATTTGCAACAGACGGATGTTGTGAAAGCAGCTATGCCACAAAAACAGTGATGTTGAGAAAAGCTTTGAGTAGTCACCTTCAGGGCACAGAGGTCTGTTTCCAGTCCGTGTCCAATCAGAATGGTGTCAGCGCTAATGAAGCTCAATAAGGTCTCCTGCACCTCTCTGAGGGAGGTGTTGTTACCCTTCACATCTTCCTCACTGATGCCTGAAAACCTATACAGGTAAAATGTCACAAGCTATCGAGAGCAGATGGCTCACTAGATGAGGCATCTGCTCTTTGAACATCCAAGTTGTTAACCTAGCATTTTTGCTCAGCTGAATCTTACATTTACGAGAACTGTATATTTTCATTTTAATCTAGAGAAGAAGCAAAAACCAATTGGCCACCTAAGAATCAGTTATGACAAAGAAAATGAGCAATTGCATGTCACAATCCTATAATAACATTACCTGGTGTTATAGTCGATGACCTCATTATCAGGTCTGACGAAGGTGTCGTACACTACTTGGAGACTAGAGTTGACCACCGTCACTCTGGACAGCTCCAGACCATGAATAGTATAACACTATGAAGACAAACAGTAACACAATGTTTTCACTGTATACCAAAGATTGACAGAATAAAGGTCCACTCAGTATGAAACATCACCCTCTGATGAAACCAAGCACTCATCAAATGACTTTGGGATTTTAGTGTGGTATGCAAAATCTCAATTCAAACCTTCTATATACAGTATAACTTATTATTAGGAACAAATACTATCAGAATAATATGATCTGGAATTTGAGTAGTCTCTGTCAAATGAGCGTGTCTGATTTAGGGAAAATACTTTGCATCACAAATGAAGCTGCTGGAGGCTTAAGTTGAGGGTCAGCGCTTAACATAAGGACAATTTTAAAAACCCTGTGTCTCAAGGAAGCTAACATCACCATTTCACAGTCCAAGGAGTAAACCCCAGGACAGCTCGTATCTGATGGATGTCTAGGCATGGTGGACACAAAACCATCCAAGCTGAGGGAATCATGGACATGCAACTGTTGAAGAAAAGAGAAAATAAGAAAAAGAAATTCAAGTACATTCATGTCTTAATGTAATTTTCTCACTCTTAATGTCGTTTCCTACCTTAAACACCTGACATCCAGGTGCTCCCATGACCCCTTCACAGCAGCTGTAGCGGGTCTCCACTCCACCTGGCACTGCAACAGTTTTAAAAACATCCTAAATGCTCCAAATACACCATCTGCAATTATTCTGATCAAAAAAAAAAAAAAGCCAAAAATGTGATGGTTCCAATATCTCAAAACGTGGGACTGTGCTGGTCTTACATTATAGTAAATTGAATATCTTTGGGTTTTCACTGCTGGGCAGAGAAAACAAGACATTTGATAACATCACCGTGGATGCTAAGCTATTGTAATTGGTATTTTTCACTGTTTTATAGAACAAACGATTAATCAATTACTCAAGAAAATGGACAGATTGATAGTACGAATAATTGTTAATTACAGCCCTACAATGCTTACTCACCTCTATTCTTAACTCCTTTCCCATAATGATAGTTGCACTCCTCCTTGCGAATGTGTTTGCCTATTTGGCTCACAGAATATGTAGCCCCACATCGACAGCAGATCCTCTTGAGAGCTTTTACCAACAAAACAGACAAAGCTCATCACCAGAGAAATGTGCTGAGAGATCTAACCATCACTCCAAGTACAGCCCAAGTTAAAAGGTGCCCTCTAGTGATGCAATATGAGAACAACATCGATTTTGTCTTTTCAAGGAATTTGAGTACAGCTGGGGTATGATGTTTTCACTTACGGTCTGTGTTGCCTTTCTTATTGTCAGCAAAAAGAGCAGCAGAACCAGGTTTCTCTGGGTGCTGGACAGGATAATTGCTCTCAATCAGCCTTTCCTCAGTCAAAATATAATCCTTCCAACTCTCATACAATGCCATATCATCTGCTGGAAAAATGAATGCACTAAGAAGCTGTCAAAAGATTAGAATGAAATGACAAATGGATGCAAAGGAAATTAATTCTCACCATTTCCTTTTAAGTTCTTCACGTCAAGTGGTATGCTGCCTTTCAACCTTTGGCTGTTGATGTTTTTTTCATCTGCACCAGAAAAAAAATATTTCTTAATCAGCGTCATTCACATATTTCATGAATCACAGTATGGCTTTTCCAGATAGTCTCACCTTTAGCTGAAACAGCACTTTGGTTCTTCAGCCTCTTCAGTGAATTCACTGCAATACTCAGATATTTGAGTTTGTTAATGCTGCGATTGTACACAGTCCTCTCTTCAGCAACAGCCTGTCAACAATAAAACAGCAGAGAAAAGAATAAATATCCAGACTGCAGTTTGTCAGTGAGGATTACATTTAGCAGCATATGCTCACCTTTTCAAAGGCATCGTTGACATTGGCTGTTGTTTTAAGGAACTCCTGTGTGAACATGTTGACATAACGCTGTCGGACATCATGGGGCACTTTGTCTTTGGCAGCCTCACACTGCTGCTTTAGTTTACGTTTAGTAGGCGCTGGCTGAAAGAATAAATACCTTTTTAACAATATGAATAATGTATTAAACATTTCTACCTTACATTAGATTTAAGTCTAGTTCAAGTCAAGTCTATGGGGGAAAAAAACAACAAAAAGTTTGTGTTTTTACTTCTTACCTTAACAGCAGCAGCATGGCCAGCAGGTTGAGGGGTAGTGGAGGAAGCTGGACTTAAATGTGTCAAAGCAGAGATCAGTAAAGGTTTCCGTGTCGGCGCAGGAATGAGCACCGGTGCTGTTGTGCGGTATTTTTGCAAAGAGCTAACTACAGCTGGATGGTATGTTTGTTTCATACCGACAGTGCTCGTATGCACTTGACTGACTGGGGTCAGCACTGATGCAATTGAGCTGCAACTTGAAGTAACAGGCAGGGGGAAGGTGCCCTCTGGGAGGATCAAGTGCAAGTTGTTGCCTACTTCGATCACAGCAGTTCCCAGAGATAGGTAGTTCATGTAAGCTGTGTGATAAGACAAAAACACAGGTAGATACGATACATTTAGGCAAAACTACTACAAAACACCACAAAAAGAATTCTACTTAAAGTATTTCATACAAAAACAAGAAAGAAATGTTGATCTACATATATAAAGACAGGGCAGGCTTCAAGATATTTTACTTGTAAAATGTCAACGTCAAACATGACGACAGATGTGATGGCACAAAGTACAAATAAAACGAACAAATAAAACATTAAAGGCTTTAACTTTTGTTATTTCATGTTGACACTAATGGAAATCTTCCTTAAATAAAGACAAATGGGTTACAAATCTAGTCCACTACAGCCAACAGATGCTTACCATTTTGCACAGGAGCAGGTTGTGTGCTTGCAGGGTTTTGAATGGGAGGACAGGCAGTAGTCTGGATCTCTGGCTTCCTCTGACAGGTAGCAGAAACAAAAGCCTGACCACCTTTTACCGAAGCAGTCAGCATGGAGGCTCTCTGCTGTACCTGCTGGATCTTGGAATTGACAGAGGATTGGGAAACAAATCCCGAAGCTGCTGGCCCACGCAGGGGGACCAAAACCTGGGGCTGAGGTCTGCTCTTTGCCGCTGGTTGCTGAGTGGAGCATTGAAAAATGTAATTAAAAAAAAAGGTATCATCTGGCTCATTTCTAATCACAAAGGTAGAGGACAATGGCTATTTTGGCTCAGTGGGTCAAATTCGAGATATTTGGCTGTTTTACATCTTCAAACAGTCAAACTTATCATTTGGCTTGGCATTAGGCTCCTGTTTAAACATTTTATTCTTTTCATTGATGTATCTAATTTCCCTCCTGTGTGTCAATTTACACATGCACACCAGTTATAAATTTACTGATGCAGAAGATACCTTTGACATGTTTCTTTGTTAGCAGTTTATTTGAAGATTTCAGATTAGCTATGTTGTATTTTCAGTATGTGGCATGTACCTCTGTATGTTTAGCTTCATGAGCAACCCTCTTCTTTCCTGGTAATGCTGGGGGTGTGACATTTAACTGTGGCTTCTGCACATCGATAATGCCAACCTAAAAATGACATGGTGAGGGAAAAGATGTCTACACTGTTGAAGAAATTTCTACACTTTGGCTCTCAAGTACCTTCAACATACTTACGGACACACTGGGTTGCTCTTCTTTTCCCTTATCCTCATTATTTGCCTCCATGAAGATCCTGTAGCATTCTTCCATTGGGTCACTGTCTGACAGCTCTACATCTGAGTAGTTGAGCTCTTCCTCCTCAGAGCTGGAGATGATGATAACCTCTTCATTATCTGCCCTCACAAGCTGCTCAGTGGGTTCAGATGATGATTCATCCCCGTTAGTCAAATGTGAGTTGACATACATTGATGAAGGGTGGTGAGTTTGAAACCGCATGCTGTCTGGAGTTGGTACTGCTTGCTCCACATACCTTACAGATGAGGTGTGGTTAATGATGGCTTTGTCCTGTATCTGTCCTGGGATTTTGCTTGACATTTTCTGGCTACCTGGCACCAGTGTTGGTACACTTTGCTTGGGAGACCAGTGGTTATGAACTCTGTTCTGAGCTGATGGCTCCGTGGTCTGGGCTTGCTTGTTGTGTTGCCTGCATGGGGAGTCTGAGTTTGCAGCTTGAGCATTATAAAAAATTGAATTCTTTGATGGAAAGTTATAAGGCTGCAGTGGATTCATTTTTTCAACACTAGAGGACAGCTCACACTGAGGCAATTCAACCTGAGACGTGTTTTCTTCCTCTTCCGCCCCAATATTGTTCCAACTCTTATCTTGTTGGTCTGAGGAGGCAGGAAGACTCGCAGGTTCAGGACAGTTCTCCACTTCTGTTTCAGCAGCCTGACAAGTGATTTTCTGACATTCACTTCCCAGATCTTCTAAACATCCAGTTAAGTCAATTACATTCCCATCAACTGATGTGTTTTCACACCCTTTGTTCTCATAAAGAGTAGATGCACATGGAGTTGTGACCTGGCATGCCTCAGCATTTGTAAGGTATATTGGTGGAGAATCAAGTAAAGCAGGTGCTGTTTCGAGCGACTTTAATTCTCCTGTTACACCGTCTGATTTGCCAGAAATACAATCAACAAGTTTCTGAGTTCGACCTCTTTTTTTGTCAGGCGAGGGAGGAATGTCAATAACCAGGACGCAGTCTTCATTAGAGTCATCAAGTGGTTGTGGGGATGGCGATTGGGAAAGCTGAGCCTGAGAGACTGGCTTCTTTTGGTCACAAGATACAGAGTCTCTTTCTCTTTTCAAACCTTGTCCATTTTTCACCTTCTGCTCCTTACCTGATGAGCTGTAAGACCGTAAGTCAGCAGAAAAGTTGGACAGGGGGTCATACTCCAAATCAGTCCTTGGTTTTGAGTTGTCAACCACGTACTTTTTCGGTCTGGAGGACGTCTTGTCTATGGATGAAGACTGTGCATAAGAACCTTTATCTACACATTTACCTGCAATCTCAGACTTTGAAACAGAAAAATTTGGTGTAGTGCTTCTGCCATCTGCCTGTACAGTCTGAAAGAGTGACAGTCGCCTTTGCTCCTGCTCCACCTCGTGCGTTACAGTTTCAATTTCCTTGCTGAGGCGCTCCAGCTCCTGGAGGCAGACATCTCTGGTCTCATCACTCACTGGTAATGGGTTGCCATTTTGGCCTCCTGTTAAAAAGGGAATACAAAGTGAGATTTTCTATTTACATGAACAAATACAGTTAGATTTATTAGGCAACACATAAATTAGCAGTTTGGACACAGTCATGTTTCATGTTTTTAGTTGATTTCGTGTGTGTAAATTAATTATTTTTATGTGCTTTCATGTTAAACCTGCAAATTTCGATTTTATTTTATGTATACCACCTAAAAATCACACAGATTCAGACAAAAAGTAGCAAAAGTACTGTGGCTAAGATAAAAATGTAAGTTAACCCGTTTGTAAACGCATGCGATTGTCAAGAGGTTTTCACTTGAAAAAATATAAGATTATCACGTGTAAATTCTTTCAAAACTTTCGAAATTTGTTTTTAAAGTGACGACTCATCCATTTTTTACTCTAATTTATTATCGTATTTCTTACCATAACATGCATTTTCAAGTTTTTAAACAAACAAGACAAGCTAATGCATCCCGGATGTAGCGTGTAGCCATAGCACACTTGAAAACACTGACCTGCTGAGTCGACTATCGGTGATTTATACGAGGCACCAAATATGTCCCGCACTTCTGTGGCATGTTTGTATGGACAGTGAGGCCGCTCACAAATCCTACGTTTGGAGAAAGGACAGTTTATATCAGCAAAAAGACCAGACGAGGGAAACATTAGACGCCACTTTTCAGGACGCACAAAACCGTTTGACTAGTTAACCGTCGACCAACAAGTGGTGGATCCAACTGAAGAAGAACAGGCGGCATCAGCCTCGTTTATATAGGCTCTCTTTAGGTCGCGAGTCGACCGTTAAACAACGTTGCAGCTAATTTGTTAAAATAATCCTCAATATCTATATTTTCGGGACATAAAACTAATTGCATCAAATATTAAATATAGCATTTTTTTTCGAGCCATGCGTTGATTGCATTCATCCTTATCATTGCGCCCTAACTTTACAAAATACTAAATTAAGTCAATCTTTATTTTTTACCTTAGAAGTTCTTGTTGATTCGTTAAAATTGGCTTGAAATAAAACTCATTCAATCACGTAATAAATATACCACATTTTGATTTGCATTAAGGTTATTATTTGATGTGGTTTATTGCATTTCCATTGTGTAGCAGTAATCCTCCAAGTCGACAGATGGCACTGCTGTACAAAACTGAACTGGGACCTGCAGACAAAGCTTGTCTTCACCGCTTGGTACAGTTTCCCCACCGAAAACACAACAACAGCAGTATTATCTGGCTTATTAAAACCTGCTAGTCAGACCAGGTTTGCGTTGTTTGACATGGATAACAGCGAGGACGAGATGGAGGAGGATGAAACCGAGTGGAGGAGAAGTGTCGTGGACTCAGTGCTACTCAGCCCCGCTGTTGCTCCTGGTAAAGTATGAAACTGAAACCAGGTCTTTTACTGTAAAATAGCTGCTTTAACGAGCTGAGAGACACATACATTTGACTATCGGCTATTTATACGTGTCTGGTGATATTTATAGCAAGTAAAGTTCCTAAGTAGCATTAAATTTTACACATTTGAGAAGCTGGAAACAGCAAAAATATTTATTCAAAAATCACTGAAATTATTATTAAAAGTTGCCAATAAATTCTCTCTACGACCAAGTGAGATTAATTAAATATGAAAAATAAAGTTTACTAGATAATCTCTCCCAACATTTGCACTTGAGCTTTTACTCTCAGGAGGGTGCAAGAATTCTTACTGTATTTATATTTTTAATATTTCATGTTGTTCATCAATACTGTGTCCCTGTCACTTTTCCTCATCAGCATTCTGTATTGTCAATAACCCTCTATTGTAGGCCTAATGTTTTTTAACATTATGTGGTGAAGCCAAAGATATATTTCTGAAACATACCGCAGTAAAGTTCATAACTAACTCTGTTTCAGGTCCAAGCCTGAATAACATGACACCAGGACCAACTCCTTCACCCTCCAGAGTTATTCTGCATTTTGACCTGGATTGTTTCTATGCTCAGGTGGAAATGATCAGAAACCCAGCACTGAGAGAAGTCCCCTTAGGTAAACTGATTGAATAGAATAAAAGCTGACTCTCAGATGTGTTTCTGTTAATGCCTAGAATACTCTGATGGTACAGTGATGTCTCTCATATTGTCAGGTATCCAGCAGAAATACATCATAGTCACCTGTAACTATGTGGCAAGAGAGCAGGGTGTCACCAAACTGATGTCTGTGACTGATGCTAAGGAGAAATGTCCTCAGCTGGTGCTGGTTAAAGGAGAAGACCTGACACACTACAGAGAAATGTCCTATAAAGTGACAGGTGGGCGAGGCTGCTACATTACATCCACAAATAAAGCTGTATTTCTGATTTCTTTTTCTTTTTTCTAAAGTATTGACAATAAAATCCAGTTCAAAACACACTCGATAAACATATGTTGACCAATCTCTTGGTCCATTTGCTGTAAAGTGGAGAGGAGTGACACATGACATTGAGTTAGTTTCAACTCACAGGAAACTGAGAATAATCTTAAAAAAACACCAACACAAAACAACAAAATGTCAGGTTTTGGTGTCAGACTCAGAAATAAAGAGTCAGACAATCTTTCCAGACTAAGCATTTTCAACATCTCCCACTTACAGTAGCTTCAAAAAGTCTGAATGCAAAGCAAAAAATGACTTCTTACATTTTGACTAAAATCTAAAATTTGATGGTTAAAATTGCACTCTCTCTATGCTAGCACTATTAATTTTGGCTTTGTTTTCCTCATTTGCACTTACATTACAACCCGCGGTTAAGTGCAACGAGCTCATACTGTTCAGGAAGCGATGTGGACGTTTCCTTCAGCTAACATCAGGTATATTTGCTGTTTCTGTGCTCACCGCACTTTACCTTTTTTTATCCTCCACCCAGAGCTCCTGATGTCCTACTGTCCACTGGTAGAGAGGCTCGGATTTGATGAAAACTTCATGGACGCCACAGAGATGGTAGAAAGAAGACTAGCACAGACACCAGAGTCTAACAGCTTTTCATTTAAAGGACACGTCTACAGCCACCTCAGTAAGTCACATTTGTGCCTGTGGTGTGTCTCAGTACATCTTAGTACATCTGGCTCATGGAAACCGGGAAATGAGTTATGAAACAAGCTGAGAAGCTAAAACCTGTAAAATATTTGCATTGCACTTTCAGTTTCCCACTACATGAAAACTTCATCGTCTTGGAGAATGTTCTGGTTTTCACACCCGCAGATAAGTGCGTGTTTTTCTGCTTCTGCTCAGGTGCAGATGTTGAAGCCAGTGACTACCTGAGGCTGGCTTTAGGTTCACAAATTGCAGCAGAGCTGAGAGAAGCCATCCACAGCAAACTGGGTCTGACTGGCTGTGCTGGAATCGCCACAAACAAACTACTGGCCAAACTGGTGTCTGGCACCTTCAAACCCAATCAGCAAACCACCCTGCTGCCGGAGAACCTCAGCGACATCTTGGGCTGCCTGAGCAGTCTCCGCAAAGTCCCAGGTATACATGCTCAGCTTATGTGTAACTCTGGAATTTAGTTATTCATCAGTTGAACTTTTCATGCGAAGGTGAACAGAATAAAGTGTTCTTTAAAGGTATAGATTGACTTTGAACAAAGATTATACTCTTTAATGCTGTTAAAACCTCTTTTCTTCTTGGACAGACAATCAACCAACCACATTTTGTGGGGCGTTTTGTGTGTGACCCACAAAATAACCCAGTGTAACTACAGAGAGACACAGAACGACAACAAAGAGACAAACAAGAGATACAAAATGACTATAAAGACATGCAAAACAAACACTAACAGACACAAAACAACTATAAAAAGACTTAAAACAACTAGTAAGAGTTGCAAACAAACCACAAAGAGACAGAATCAGCAAAAAGAAGACACAAAACAAACATAAAAAGACACAAAATGATCTCAAAGGAGAGACAAAGGAATCACTACCTGCCGTGCTGCTATGTAGGAGACGCCTTTTACAAGTCTGTGCCCAGGGGACTGTTGTCTCGTAATTCTCTTTGATGTATTTTTGGCCCATGTCACTCGTATCAAGTGTCCCTGGCGATATTTGTCATGCCGTCATGTCTTCCTAGGGATCGGTCACCAAACGGCGAAGAGACTTCAAGCCTTGGGATTGGTCAGCATCCGAGACCTACAGCTCTTCCCTTTGAATGACTTGGTGAAAGAGTTTGGACATCCCAGTGCTCAGCGCTTGAAGAATCTGGCTGTCGGCATTGATGACTCACCTGTCACCCCTACTGGGGCCCCTCAGGTAGGCTAGGATATCCCTGAAGTACCAGTATCTACTTCAACTGAGTGTTTTGTCGTCTGCCACTGTGTGTTGTCAATCAACACAATATATCATTAAGCAAACATCTGCACTAGTTACCTTTCTGCTTAGTGACATGCATTTTAGATTTTGAAGGTAGCCTTTTAGCCTTCATAGCTGAAATGTCTCATAACCCTGGTTGCACTGTCCTACTTTTCATCAGTTGAACGTAAAGGTAGGTGGTGGGGTGCAGTTTTGGAGAATCTTGAATCTCAGGGTGAGAGTTTTTTTTAAGTAATGCTTTATTTTATGGGTCCGACATATTCCAGCTAAATTCCTGGAAACATTTCCCATAAGAAAGACCCACACACTTTATATTACCAGGGAAATGGAGAAAGTGCTTGTTCCTACAGTTATTAACCCTTTAACAACCCCACCAAGAAAAAAGCAATGGAAGAGTCAAAGTGTGCTCAACCATATGGTCGAGCAGGCAGTTAAAGGGTTAAGTACCTGCTTGTTATATTTAAGAAAAAAATAGGAAATTATGTGGTAGGTAAGTGAAAAACTGTACATCAGTTTCCTTGAAACACTAACTGATGTTCTTATTACTTGATTAAAACTCAGTTTGTGCCACGCTGAGTCACTTTATTTCACAGGTCTCATCTGTGGAAATTAGGTAGAAATATGTTTCTTAGTATAACCGCTGAGTTTGTGAAATTTTGTAGTATGGAGTGAAACACAAAACCAAAGAATTTTTCAATGCAGCTGAGAACTACAGGTAAACATGCAGGTCAACCAATATGCAGCATAACTGTCAATTAAATGAATATTTACCAAGTGGATCTGTAACGTATGGCGGCTCGAAGCCTTAAAATTAATTAGGTGAAAATTGACGAAACCTTGATTGAAAGGTTCAGAGTTTCTGGTTGCATTATTGGAAATGTAGAATTCAGCACTAGAGACTAAAATTCAGGATATCAGTTTTTCCCTTTTGATGTGAAAATTGTTCTTGATCTTTCGCCTTTGTTAGTATCCTCTTTATGTCTCAGTCTCTCAGTGATGAAGACTCCTTCAAAAAAATGTCATCAACCAAAGACGTTTTGGAAAAGATTCAACAACTCTTGAGCAGTCTGGTGGAAAGGTCAGGGCCAGTTTCTCCACCTACTTAACCCCTCGTCACTTTTTTTTATTTATGGTCGAGCTGCTGAATCTTACCTTCATCACCTGTTTAAAAACCAGGATGAACAAAGATGGCAGGCAGCCTCAGACCTTCCGGCTCACCATTCGTAGATACTCGGCGACCAACAAGTGGTTCAGTCGCGAGAGCCGTCAGTGTCCGATCCCCAACCACATAGGACAGAAGATCACCTCAGGTAAGAACGCTGTAAAATCCCACCTGAA